ACTCAAAAGAAGAAAAGGGTGATCAACAACTGCCCTTCTTTATGAATGAAAGAAAGGTATGGGACAGGATGGCCCTATTTCCTAATTCTTACCTTTGTCCTCTTCTGCAAAACAAGAGGCAAAGGCCCTGAAAGGGCTGTCTTCTAAAACAAATTTTAGATTGGTGGAAGGCACAAGGGCAGGTTGCTCTCTGGAAGTTTGCAGAGGTTTATAATTCGTTTGTAAGGTGGGTAAAAACAAATGTGGGTGAGCTTGACTGCCTGCTTTGTTTGCACATACAACAGTTACCTGGCCATCTCCTTTGACTTGTTTCTTAAATATTGTTTAAACATTCAGTGCTCAGGCAAGGTGAGAATACAGGCTGTACTTGCAGATTATCAAATATCTGTTTGTATGTACTGTTTATTCCTTATTCTAAGTGCAAGTGTATTGCTGTTGCCTTTCAAAAGAGAATTTTTACATGGAAATGAATCTGTTTTTTCTTTCCTTTTTTGAAAAGATTATTGCTTCAGCAAACTTCATGCTGTCGGAGCTCTTTCAGTTGGATGAGCCTGAAAAAGAAGACAATACAGACTTCCCTATAAATGGAAATTCTGATGAAAGTTAGAGTGAAGAAGAGGAAGAAATGCCAGACAGTGATGAGAATGGTTTTTACAGTAACAGTTCTGATCCACCAGATGACAACAAAGCAGTGGCTGTAATAAAATCTGTAGGAGAGTTATCAGTACCAGAAAAATACAAGTGTGTTCATCGAATATGTGTAAGTAAAGTTATGGGTTTTTGTTTAAGGAATTTCTTGAATTGATGCTGCAAAATTCAGCTACTTGTTAGTTTTGTCGTAAGCTGTCATCATGTGCCTTCTCTTTAGTTGTGGCTTTTCATTTTTGTTTTTTCTCCTCTGCCTCATGCTTCAGTCAGCTTTTTCATTAGCTGAAGTTTGTTGTTTCTTCACGAGCATCAAAAATTGCTACATTTGGGGAAATATTCTAATGCAATCTATTTTGATGGAACACAGAACTGTCACCCCCTGCAGCCAATTCAAAAAGATGTGTCCACTGAAGAGCACAAAGCATTTCTTAAAGTAGCTCATCTTCATAGCATCTCTTACAGTGCAGAAAAGGCTCTGATTATGATAAGCCAGTGCTACAAAGATGGTATTGTAATTAAGATGATTTATTTAGCTACATGTTGTTTTCATTCTGAGGAACAGGCTTTGTCAGTGCAGGATTTTTCTGAGAAGTGCTTTGGGTACTGCCTAGAGATCGGGCTCTTGTATTTCACAAGCGATATCTGGTAAGTGGTTAAGAAGTCTTCGCTCCTTCTAACCAATTCTGAAGCCCACTGGAAGAAGTTCTGTGAGTTATGCTGCCTTCTGTGCGGTTCCACCTTCCTTCGGCCCAAAGCCTAGAAAAAAGATGGAAAGAAAAAGCCATGTAAACATACGACTTTTGATCACAGTTTCACAGATGAAGCTTGTAACAGTCACTACCCCGCTGGAAGCTAACAAAGCTAATTAAAATGAACTACAAAAGGGACCTCAAAACTGAATTAATCTGTGATTTATGTACTGAATGGCAAGTACACTGCTTGTTGCAGGGGAGGTGGAAGAGGTATTGATCGCATAACTAATTTATAATCTCATTTTTTAACACAGATTTTGGACTGAAGTCAGCCACCGTACATTCTGGCATACAGGCGTATCTCGTAACTACAAGGGAAAAGTAGCTGATGCTGGAGAGCAGCAGGACTTTGACTATCCCAAGTTATAACCGTGTAACAGCAAAATACGTTCCTTCCTCAGCACAGCTGGCCATCATCACGCTCCATCGTCAGGCTGCCCAGGATCCCATCCAACCTGGCCTTGATCACCTCCAGGGATGGATGGGGCTGCTTCAAGACAGCTTTGTGCACAGGTGCAACTCAGCACCAGGCAGCGCTTCTCACTTGCAAGCAGTGCCTGTGGGTTGGGCAGCGCTCCCCCAGCAGCACTGGGCTGCTTGGAAAGGAAGCATACCTTTTATTTTGGTCACTCAACCATGAATGATTTAGCTGCTATTAAGAGCACAAAGCCAGAAATCGCCTTCTGCAGTCCTGCTGCAGCTTGTTGGGGAACAGTGGAGCACCAGTAAAAAAAAAAAAAGCAAAAATAAAAGACAAGTCTGGCCTGGCAGGGCTGCTGGCGCCACTATGTACAGCCCACGGACTGACTGTTGGAAGGAGAACTTGCAGTGCCCAGTGCCCCAGCCTGCTCTTTCTGCAGTGACTGTGTGAAGGAAGGTGAATTCAGGGAGCAGTTCTGTAATGTTCCTCATACCGAATGGGAAGACATCCGGGGCAGCAGTTACGCTGTTACAGCCCGTAGAACTTGATCTCAAGTGCTCTTGCTCACAAGGGCTCCCAGGCAGTAAATGCCACCGGTGCCATGACTGCTGGGGACCCACTGGGCTGCAACTGCCAGTCCTCAACCGCCATCTGTAACACGGATGGATGCTCTCTGTCATTAGAACTCATCTGCAATCCTCGGGGTCTGTGACACTGAGTTGCTGAGGCAACACAAAAAGCTAATAAAACCCTGAAATTACGCAGGGCTCTTTGTTAATGTCTGAAGCCTAACATTTCCTTGTCAACTATAACTGATGTCTATTATTTTTTATGTATTACTGCCACATGCTGTCATACGGCTGTGCTCCTACCTGTCTGCAAAGCAGATGCACACGTGTGGTACACAACATGTGCACACAGAGATTTATTGTGTCTTGCTCTATGTGGGCAGCAGCACACCAACCACTGGAAGGAAAACCCTTCCCAGCAAGTTGGAACGTCCTTAAGAATCTTTTGGAATCTTTTGCAGCCAACTTCCAGGCACTTAGCATTTTTTGCTCCGTGTGCAAACCCATTTAAGATCTTGATTGCAATGCTTTCAACGTTGGCACTCCATCACGTTGTGCAAAACAAAGCAATTACAGGGCACCTGAGCCGCACTGAGTTCTGTCTCCTCTGGCTTCCAGAAGACAGAAGAGTTTTGCCATGACTGATGGCATGTTATGCACATAGTAGGCAACGACATTTCTCACACGCAGCCTAGATAGTTCAATGCAGCTGAACTGCTCCGAGCACTACAGTCTTCTTGCCTCCTTCACAAAAGTCCTAGGGAACTCTGTGTCACCAATAGTAATAAACTCACACCCACTGAGAAAGGGAAGATCTTCCCTTCTGCTTGCTCCCTCTATTTGTACAAGGGGGGCACATGTAGCTCCTCACGACTCCCAGCTTTCTTCCCTTTTGTCAGCAAATGGCAAGGTATTCTGAAGTGCCGGGCTGTTCAACAACAAGTGTGTGATACACGTTTTGGAGAGGGATTGCAGATGCCAGGAGAAATTAGCTCTGCCCCTCGTGCTGCACTGAATGACCAACAGTGGAGCTGCAGGCACAGCATGAGGGCAGCTCTGGAAGAATTTCCTTGGGCGCCCCATCAGCAGTGTGCAGAGACACCATCGCTCAGGTTGGAAAAACCTTAAGATGCAGTCCAACCACAGCCCAACCATCCTAGCCCAACTAACAGCCCTGCGCTAAATCCTGTCCCTGAACACCACATCCAAATGGTTTTTAAACACGTCCAGGGATGGGGACTCAACCACCTCCCTGGGCAGCCCATTGCAGTGCTTAACGACCCTTTCTGTAAAGAAGAGTTTCCTGATATCCAACCTAAACCTCCCCTGGTGCTACTGGAAGCCATTTCCCCTCGTCCTGTCACCAGTGACAAGGGACCAGCCCCGCTCTGCTGCAGTCACTTTTCAGAAGAGAGCAATAAGGTATAATAATAATAAATAATACCTCAGCTACCACCTCCCCAGACCGGACAGCCTCAGTTCCTTCAGTCCCTCCTTGTAGGCCATGTTCTCCAAGGCCTTCACAGCCTTGCTGCCCTTCTTTGCACCTGCTGCAGCACCTCCATGTCCTTTCTGTACTGAGTGCCCAAAGCTGAACACAGCACTGGAGGTGTCGCCTCACCAGTGCCGAGCACAGGGCAGGACAAACTTCCAGTCCTGTTCCCCACTCCATTCCTGACCCAAGCCAGGGTGCCACTGGCCTTCTTGGCCACCTGGGCCACTTGGCCACATCTACATTCTGGCTCAGAAATCTCCGTGGAACAAAAAGACAAACTTTTCCCACAAAATCTGCTTCTGCTTTACTTACGTATACCTTGCATTAAATTCCAATTTGTACCTCCTTTAAATGCCAAAAGTGAGCATTAATAGCTGGGATGGGTGTGTTCACCGCTCTCTGGGCTGCCATCGTGTGGCCAATATGCGGAACTGCAGCGAAGTTTTTTCCGCCGTCTCTGGGCTGCCCTCGTGTGGCCGATATGCGGAACTGCAGCGAAGTGCTTTCCGCTCTCTGCGCTGCCCTCGTGTGGCCGACATGCGGAACTGCAACGAAGTTTTTTCCGATCTCTGGGCTGCCCTCGTGTGGCCAGTATGAAGAACTGCAAAGAAGTTTTTTCCGCTGTCCCGGCACTGCCCCCGTGCGGCCGACATTTGGAACTGAAACGGGACAGGCGCTTGCGCAGTGCGCTGCGAATCGAGTGCTCGTGCGTCGAGACAAGCGCATGCGCAGTGCCGCTGCGAGAGCGGCGCATGCGCCGTACTGC